TTTTGGGGGGTGTTTGGGTTATGTTAATAAAAAAAAAAAAAAAAAAAAAAAGTGTATCAGAGTTGCTTTCCCAGTTTGAGAGCTGCAGGGAAAAGGAATGAAGAGGAGAGCAGGCTCTGCCCTTCTCTCCCTGCGGAGGAGGTGAGCCAGGCAGGGAGGGTTATCCTTACTTTGTCAGTTCTTCTTTGTCATTTTCTGTTTCCTGCTTGTCTTCCTCCTTCTCTCCTTCCTTGTCCTTTTCTTTCTCTTTTTCATCTTTCTCTTCTTGGCTGCTCCGGGGCATTTGCTGCTGCTGCTGCAAAACAAGGGACATAAAACAAACTCTCAGTGCTGAGGCGGATACATCGCAGCACCTGGGCCAACCTAAACAAATGTGGCGAAACAATGCTGGGGGGCGAGCGGCCAAGAGGAAAAAGTGCTGCAGGCAGAGGGTACAGGCAGGCTGCTTACGGAGGCCGCGGGGGCCGAAAGCTTTCTGGGGAGATCAGAGGTAGTTTGGGATCAGGCACTGCAGCCGTGCTCCGGCTCCCATTCCAGGCAGCGGGACAGCCCTGCGGCTCCCCGGGATCTGCAGGCAGCAAGCAGGGACCTGACACGGGGGAAGGCAAGGAGGTGAGAACAACCCCCCTGTTCCCTGTAGATGATGGCTTAGCAACATCGGTTGCAATTTGCAGCTGGTAAGGTGCATTTTGCTGGAGCACAAAGGAGACAGGGGCACCAGAGATGCCCTGAGGCTCAGCGATACCAACGCTGTGATCTCCTTCCCAAGCATCTAACATGGCCCACAGGGAAAGTTTATGGTCCCGTATCACCAAGACTGGAAGACACCCAGCTCCTCGCCTGCTCTGTACCGCCTGGCACCCTCACTGGAGGCCATGCACCCAACTGCCCCAATGCTGCTGCCGCCGCTCAGACCAAAGGCGCTGCGGTACCCGAGGGAGGGATGCAGCGATTATAATAGTTCTGGATTTTGTTTCAACAGCTGCAGGAAGGAGGATGCTGGGGAGGCCTGGTTCCCCTGACCTCCCTTCCCTCTGGTGACCGGCAAACGAGAGGCATTTCATAGGGAAGTAGAAATTAGAGACGGAAATGATTTATTAAACCATCCTGCTCCTGGCTAACGCAGGGCTGCTTGTGCCAGGAAACCCACCCGGGCTCGCCCGGCCCCTGCCCAAGCTGCAGGGCTTCCACCACCCCTTGGGAAAGGGTTTGGTGATGTAATGGGGGGAAACATTAAAGTGGATTAATCAGCAGAAAGTATAATGCCAGGGAGCCTGGTCTGGCCATCATGCAGACGTTGGGCCAAGTGCAGATGAGGTGTGCCTGCATCTCTCGAGCCGGGGGCCTGGCCTGTCCCCACTCTGTGGGAGCGGGGAAGCTGCCTTGAACCCAGGTGTCCTTGCAGCAGCGACGCTGGGTACGAGCTAAACCCTCTGCGCCCATGGGCTGCTGCTAAAATGAGAAGCGTGGAGCTGTCAAAATGGGCATCAGAGCATTCTAACAAGAAAGCTTCTGATTCTTTCAGGCCCCAGTTCAACACAAGTCCTTAAACCACAGGCGCTGCCATCACCGAAACCCTGCGGACTTTCAATTCCTCCTGGTGCCAGGGGGGAAGTGGCCACGCCGCCAGGACCCACGCTCGGCAGCACATGCGTGGCAGGCCTGGCTGGCCCCCACAGCACCTCCACACCGGCACACGTGCCGAACACACCCGTACCGCATCTGCTCACACCCCTGCTGTGCTACCGGGAATGGCTTCATGGGATGCAAGGTGGGGAGTCTGGGGAAGGGGAGTTGGGGAACAGTTGTGATGAGCACTTGGTTGCTTAAGATTTTTCAATGTCCATAAATCTCTAACGCTTGGGGAATGGGCTGTCTCCTGCAGGAACTGGCCAAGCAACAGTGCCAGGCACTGCCCTTGCCAGCCCCCAAACCCACAGAGAAGCCGGGGGCAGCCAGCAAGTCTGCTGGGACCGGGAGGCAGGCAAGCCTGCGCTGGCGGCAGAGGAGCAAGGGGCACCCGTCACACGCGTTTCCCCAGTGCTGCCCTGAACCCTCTGACTCCCTGAGTCACACCGCGGTGAACCCTGAGCACGGGTTCAGCCCAGACAAATACCCACGAGGGGAGGGCTGTGACCTCCGAGGGCTGGGTGGGGAGCAGGGCAGGCTCTGCCCTAGCCCTGGCCATCACTACCCACCCACGTTCCCTTCACCAAGCACTTTGGCAAGGGAGGACAGCCCAGATGACTTTTGCAGTATTTCTACCACCTCACTGTGAATATTTTCTTTTGGAGGAGGAGGGAAACCCTGCACCCCAGAGATCCCAGCTCCTCGGGGTGTAAACCCAGCTGCAACCGCATGAGTCCCTGCCCCAGTGTCAGGCTGGCACAGGCTCCCAAGGGAAGCTTTAGCATCGTCTCATCTTGTTTCTGCACTTGTTCAAACCAGAGGGCTGTCACCGTGAGCAGCCATCACAGCTCTTCCCCAGAGGAACAAGCTCCCTGCACCAGCCTGCAAAAGCAGGGGTGGAAAGGCAGAGAGAGGCGTGAGCGGCCGCGGAGACTCAGGCTGCAATGCAGGTGCTCCCCTGGAGAGGCATCCATCGAGCTCTGGCGTGCCGAGGACCGGCAAACCCCACTGGCCTGGCTTCAGCGGGCCACAGTGCATCCCGCTCCTCCCAGGGGTTTCAAGCCCAGCCTGGTGGGACATCAAATTAGGGCTTCTCCCACCGCAGAGGAGCATTTCAATCCAAGGATGCCCTCTAGTGATTGCCCTGCTGTGGCCACAGCAGGGTGCCCGATGGCAGGAGCGAGAGCCGGGTGGGCACAGCACCCTGCACACGGCGGGACGGGACCCAATGGCTCTCACCTGCCAGCCTTCTCCCGCCCGGCTGAAGTGCATAAATCGGGCAGCATCGTCACCATGAGGCCACGGTGGGGAAAACTGTTCCCTGCTCCCCCCGTGGCTGTGTTCACGTCTTCATCTGAAGAAGGCTCCTGGCCAAATGCTGCTTTGAACCCTGGCAAACACGCGGTGACAGCTTATCTCCTGTGCCAGGGCTCGGCTGCACAGTAGAGCACCCCCCAAACACCCTGGAAAACATCTCCGGGGACGGCCACGCTCACGAATGCCACCTTACATCCCACCCGGTGGTACATGCTGGGCTGGAGGCCGTGGGGCAGGTGAAGCACCCAGAGCTCTTGGGGCGGAGAGGGGACCCCAGGGTCCCAAATGAAGCTGGGCGAGAGCTCAGCTATAAGTGGCACACAGGGAAAGGAGGTGGGACACCCCCCCCCGGGACCGACCACGGCAGCCATCTCAGCCCACCTGCGCTACGTGCTCTACCCCAAACCTCAGACCGGCCAGCATCAGAGTCAGACCACAGCACAGTACAGTGCCGGGAAGTCACAGCCGGGAACCTGCGAGCCGGACGGTCCCCCCGCCCGGCCCCGGCATGCGGCTGCCCCCGCGCTGCGCAGGGAGGCTATTCTTAGAACTGGACCCGGACCAGCTCTGGATGATTCAAGGGTCGGGACGCCATCCCAAAGCGTGACAGGCCAGGAAATGCTTCCCCAGTTACCAGCCGATGTTTCCCTCTGATTCATGCTGCCCCGGTTAGAGGTGGACCAGCAGGTGGGTCAGCTCTTAGCGGACGTGCCAAAGGCCGGCACCAAAACTGCTCAGCTCCCAGCAAGCTTAAACCTCTCTTCACCTACACCCCTGCCCCCCTGGGATGAGGCACCCCACCTCCTGGAGGCAAAGCAGGTACGTGCTCCCCACCTTGCACAAGAAGGGATATGCCCGAGGCCAGGGAAGATGCCTGTGGCAGAGGGCAGGGCTGTCCCTCCCGTCCCTCCCTCCCAGGTCAGACGCTCTAACCGCTGGACCGCCCTTCCTCCCCGGCATCGCTGCTGCTTGTTTTTGCTGCCGACACATCCTGTTTATTTAAAAAGGCCCCGGGACAAAATTGCACACGGAACGCGTGAGCGAGAGGACGATCCTGCTCCAAGCCCACGGGGACGGGCGGCCTCCTTCCCCACATGCTCCCCGTGCTCCAGCATGAGCTGCTCCATAATTACAAACATCTGCTCACCTCTACCCCAATTTCCCACCGGCCCCGGAGCAGCTGGAGAGGAGCAGAGCGCTGCCAGCCCTCCTGGGAACACTGCCTGCGCCACCGGCCACCCCCTTGCCAGGGCCCGTGGGCAGGCACGCATGCTCGCCCCAGCGCCCAGCTTCCCTCCAGAGTGACATTGCTCGCCCTGCCCGGCCAGCTCCATTGGGCTGGCACGTCACGGGGATTTCAGCCGTTGCAAAACTCCGGCTCCAAGTGCACTTTTGGGGAACACCGGCTTCCAGGTAGGTCCCGGACATCAAAACGCTGGCCCTGCTGAGAACTGACCAACTTGCTACGTGTCCTGGCAGCAGGTCTGGCTGGGAGAAAGCCCCAGCGAGGAAGAGGTGCAGCTCCTCCCACTCTGTTTACTTCCTCCGCTGAGGCTCTGCCTGCTTCTGGAAGCAGAACAGGAGGGCAGGAGGCGGTGGGAGAAGCAGCTCCCCACCTTCGCCCTCCCCAGCCCCACCGGAGACGCCTGCTGCCTTGGCCCAGAGACGGTGAAGCCAGCCAGAAACCCCTTCCCGGCCGGCGGTGTCCCCTGCCTCCGAAGCGCGCTGTTCGCATGCTCACCGTGAGCTCCAGACCCTCATCTCCCCCCAGATCACTCACCTCCCCGCTCCCCGGCTCCCGTGAGCGGCCGGTCCCCGACAGCCCCATCGCCGTCTCCCGGCCCCTGCTCACCGCCCAGCCATCCGGGCGCGCTGTGCCTTACATTCTCCGGCTCTGAAGGCTTCCTGACGATTTGCATAGTTAAGCCGTAAACTAACCACAACATTCCTCTTATGATTTTGCAATCTGCTGGAATAACGTGGTCGCTCTAAGTCGAGTCGATGAATCATCATCTATAAACCACAGCTCTCGTCACCGGGGCTCTCAGTGCTGGCTGCAGCCAGTGTGATTAATCCACCAGGATGCCAAGCTTAACCTACGGCGCAGGGTTATTTATTTTCCAAACTTGCAAACCTCCAGAAAGCGACAGCTCCTGCCTTCCCCGTCCCCTCCGTGGCGAGATGTGCTGGGCTGCGGCAGGGGACTGGGGACCATGCCAGAACCCCATGCAGAAATCTCCCTTGCTGGGCATCCCGGCATTAACTGCTGGACTGTGCACCTTGCAACTACGGCACCCACACCCTCTCCCAGTGCCCCCTCACTCCCTGCTCCATAGCACCCTCAAAATATGCACCAGAACACCACTGTTGCCATGACAGCTCGGTTTCCCAGCCCTGGTCCTGCTGGGGACAGGGATAGACACAGCCACCATTTCACAGCAACTCTCCCCATGATGTTTAGCTGAGCTCATCCCTGGGAGTCCTGTTCCTGCCCCAGGACCGCCAGCTCCTGCCACCTCCAGCCATGCCGCTTGCTGGTGGATGCCGCTTGCTGGTGGACACGCTGGCGGGGAACTGGCTTAGGTCATGGTGACGGCACTGTGAGAGCCCATCCCCGAGCCCAAGTGCTGGCTGGGGGTGACATCTCTTCTCTCTCACGGCAGGTTTTGAGGGCGGATTGGCTGCACGGGGGATGCCATTTGGCTGCCAGCAGGTGCATCACCTCCACTGCCATCATTACGGTGCCCTGGACTCTTACAGAAGATGAACACACCACGGAAACCACTGACTCCTGTTTGCTCCTTAAATCAGGAGGGAGCAAACCACAACCCTCTATGAGCTCGTGCAGAGGGAGCCATGCATGCTGCGAGGCAACTCATTTCGGTGCTGTTCAAGTCCATCCCCAGGCACTGCAGGCAGCGAGCTCCAGGGTTTTTGCTCGAAGGCGGCTTTGCAGACCATGCCACAGTCTCGCTGCAGCAGCACGGTGATGCGTGCCAACCCTCTCCCCACCATGCCACACCGAAGCCTGCCTCGACAGGGGCTTTGGAGGGAGCGGTGCCCCTCCGGCACGAGCCCCATCCCCTCCAGCGGCCGGGAGCACCCGCTCGGCCATGCTGCCTCTCCCGTGTGCAGGGTGCCGGCTCCTTGCTTCTCCCACGGCTGACTTCAGATCAATGGCATTTATGATGTTCTCCAGGGGCACTCAGCTGCGGAGCAGGCGCAGGCCGAGGTCATTGCACGCAATCGGGGAGTTGCAAATTAAAACCAGCTCGAGATAAGCCGAAGACAAAAGGCCTACGCTCTGAGGGCCAGGAACACCTGGGGTTTGCTTTGCTGCTTCTCCAGGAGCCCCAGCACGACTGCAATGGCCATGTGTGTGCACGGGTGCCTGCTGGCATCACCCTGAACATCCCATGGGGTCTGGTACCAGCACCATGGGGCAGGATGCCCTGTGCTCTTCGCGGCACAGCCAGCAGGACTCAGCATTCAGCTTCCACCCCTCTCCTCGGCCCCGCGGGACGCTGCGCAGAGCATCTCTGCCAGGAGCAGGACTGGCATCACGCAGCCATGGCTTGGGAGCATCCTCTCTCCTCCACCACCCACATCCATCCCTCCACCTCCTTTCAAACTCTCCCTCTGGCAGGTCACACCACCGAGAACCAGGGCAAGGACTCCCCCACCGAGCACCCACAGTGCCAGCCTCCTCTTTAGCCACCGCGCTGCCCGGGCACCCCAGGTCTCCTCTGGAGCATCCTTCCCCGTTCGCCAATGTTGTAGCAGAGGTCGAGGTGCCTACCACCGAGGTCTGATGCCGCATGGCCACTGCAAACAGCGCTCCCCGCACATCCCTACCCACCCCTCGGCAGCAGGCTGGATACAGAGCGCAGGGAGGATGGCTTAGAAATACACATATGTATCATGTAGCTGACTCCCAGGGCTCAGAGCCTCTGATCCGACGGTCTGGAATGCCTCAGCCCTTGCTGCCACCCACCGCCGCGCAGCCTGGCTTCTCACGACCGCGTGCAGCACCCTCCACTCATGGGAGAAACCACAAAGCAAAACAAGCCGCTGCCAAAACAACAAGGAAAGGAAGAGGAATGTCTGCCGGCAACTTGGCTTTGATCATGTGCGTCCCGGGGCTGGGTTTGATGCTGTTGGCTGCAGAAGCAAGTTGAAAAATCAAAGGGCCAGGCTTGGATTTGATAACGAGAATGATAGTGAGTATGGGGCTCGCTTAGTTCAGCTCCGACCGCAATGGCCCGGAGCTGTGCTGCTCCTCCGCCGGTAAACAACAAACTCTGCAAGACAGCAATCGTTACATGGCAGAAATGGAAAACACCAGGGCTGTGCCCAGCGTCCTGGGAGGCACTGAACAGGCCCCGCGCACGCTCGCTAGCGCAGCTCTCTGGCACCACAGGCCACAAAACACAGCCAGTGACAGCAGCAAAGCGCCGGCAGCCGCAGCTGGGCTGCCCTGCCACGCCGCGGGAAAGCCCCGTGCCATCTCCCAGGCTGCCGGTCCTGGGGGCGAGCAGCATGCCAGGGACGAGGAGAGGGGCCAGCTGTGGGACTGCAGAGACGCCTGACCCTGCAGCATCACTTGCCAGACCACGGCACGATCACATCCAGTGCGTGCACCCGAGCGCGGGCTCATCTCAGGCGGCACCGGAGCCTGTTGGGCACGGGAGCCTTTCGGGAGGGGTCCCTGCACGGCTCAGCCCAGCCCAGCGGGCACTGACGCCTTCCCACCGCTCGCTCCTTGATCTCAGTGAAGCACACAAGTAATTTTTACAGGACCCTGCTCGCTCGGATCCCTCCTTAAATCACCAAGGGCTTTTCCATAAGAGGAAATGTTTCTTTTCTGGGTCGCTGCTGAGTTTTTCAAAAAGTGATTTGATGGCTCGTGAAGGGAAAATGACCTGAGGGGAAGAGAGCATAACGTTTGGAAGGGGTGGAGGTGAGCCCCCGCTCTGTCCCAGGCAGGGAACACGTGTTTTCTCTTCCCTGTGGTGTGCTTTACCCCGCTCCCTGCCGCTCGCAGCCCCCCGGCCACACGCCAACCCCCCTCCGAGCCCTGCCAACAGAGGAAGGTGCTGGGTCGGTGGCTCATGGGACGCAGAGCAGCATCCATGCACACCGCAGACACACCAGGGGCAAAGCAAGCCCTGTATCCTCATGGAAGCAGCTTTCCCAGCTCTCCCAGCTGTGCCTGCTTTTAAAGCAACTTGGCAATGACACGACCTATTTCCCATCTGTTCCCAGGCAAACCTGGATCACAACAACAGATAAAACAACTCATCTCAAAATCCAACCACTTCTATCACTCCCTGTCCTGCCGGGAAGATGCTGCGGGTCCCCCGCCACGATCGGTAATGCCCAGCCTGGACCCCAAACCACCATCCTGAGGAGTACTCACGTGGGCGCAGGCGTGGTGGGGCGCTCGCCGGGAGGATGCATCGACCCGCTGCTGGAGAAACACGAGTCCGAACTCAGGGGCCAACTGGAATGGGGGGGGTTCACGTCACTTTTAAGTGATTATTTTATTATCGCTAACTGCAGACGCAATCAAGCTGCACAGAAGAGCCCGGCTGTGGTGGCCAAAGGGTCCATCAGTAAGTGGACCACCGGCAGCCCATGCTGGTGCTACCCCAGAGGGAAGCGGCTGCGTGTCCCTGCCTGCGGGTGCCTGTCCCCGCTCCGAGCCCACAGGTCTCGCTGCTGTCCCCGCACTGCCAGCGGCCCGTGAGGCCGTGTTGGGAGCTGAGGACCGAGCGGCCATCCTCCCGTGGCAACGCATCCTTCAATTCTTTTCCCAAATATGGCCACATCATTCTCGTTTAATCACCCCCAAAACTGCAGCTGGGATTTCAGGAATGCGAGTTTCCATTGTGTTTGCCCAATTATGCTGCCTGGAGGGGTGGCAGGGCTGCGGGAAAGCTGCAACGTAATGGGGGAACGGGCATGATGCACCTTACGGGGCAAACCTGGGGTAGGGGGTTTGGGAATGACGGGAGCCTAGACTGAAAGAGCAGGCGCCAATGGAGAGTTATGGGATCGATATCAGCTAGAACATCACCGTGTCTCACACCTCACCCACCTTCTCAGTGCAGGCACCCCAGCATTCATCCTCCTCTGTGACGGCCCCTGGGTGACAGCCCTTGACCAGCCCCAACCACATGCTCGGTACCTGGCAATCTCGGCACCCCGGAGAGGGCAGGTGGATGTTCCCGTTCCGAGGCACGGAGGCGAACGTGGGCCCTGGCAGAGAGCATTTAGCAAAGTACAGGAGAGGCTGCAGACCCCGAGCTCTCGCCCATGATCCCCCCCAGCACTGCTGTCAGGCTGCCCTGCCAGCCATGAAGTGCCTGAGCTACACCGAGCTGTAGGAAAAGCCCAAGACGGGCGTTTTCCAGAAACAACCACTTTTCCTGATGGAAACCAGTTTCTTTGCAAGTTGTATGCTGCCAGCCACTGAGCAGGACCTGCTGCCTCCAAACACGCTCCAGCACAACCCTCTGTGCCCATGGGAAGCCCGCTGCTTTCCATGAGAATGGTTTTGCACCACTTTTGAGGATTCCGGGGGTTAGCTGGTTTTGTCCAGATTTTTGTTGGCTATGAGATGTAGATTTAAAGAGCGAGAGCCTGCGCCGAGCAGCGCGCACACAAGCACCCAAGGAATAAACGCTCTGCGAGATGTTTCTCCCTGTGAGGCCACACTCCAGCAGGACCAGGACCATGGGGTCTGGCCGGGTTTGACTTCTCATGGGTCCTGCACCCTGGCCTGGCCGGGCAGGTTTCCCCAGCCACCAGCAGTGCTGTCACACCACAGACCTGTCCAGAAAATGAGCCAAATTCAATCCCCTTTGTGTCCCAGCAGCGAGCTGACCTGGCCCAGCCAGCACGACGGGGCAGAGCCGGGGGGACAGGACGACAAGCAGGGCCACTTTGCAGCAACAGCCATCAGCAGAAGATGAACCCACACCCCAACACTGACATCCCAGGCGTCGTTTCCAACCACGCAAACTGCTCCCTTACAGACCTCTTTGCAGCCACAACCATTCCCCCCTGCCGGCTCCACTGATCATCTCAGTGCCGTTTAAAATAGAGTGCTCAAGTCAGCACAGGCTTAAATGCTTGCAGAATAATTTATTGGTATTTGTGGCAGCAAAGTTTACTGCCCACATCCAGGGCTGTTTCAGTATGATGTGCTGCATTATTAAACCAGGATTTTATGACAAGTATCTCCCAGCGTCTGAAAGAGAAGTTGTCAAACCCTTTGTCACTAATGAGGAGCCGCTCCCTGGATTGATGAAAATCGAATGCTTCCCAGAAATAAATGCTCATCTCATTAGCTGTTGTGGTTAATGGAGTGGGGGCACACGCACAACTTGCGGTGCAAGAGGTGGTTTGTTGAGCTCCAGACCTGATCCTCGCAAACGGAGGAGAGGTGATGGCAGGGCAAGGCTGGTCCGTGGCGGGTGCTCTGCTTCTGCACCGGGGATGGGCTGCACGAAGACCTGGAGCTGCGGGCAGACAGCGCCCACCTGGCAGCCCCAGCCCTGCCAGCCCCTGCCAGCCTTGCTGGCTGGGACAGCGCTTACGTGAAAAAATGGGTTGTTTATAAAAAAAACGGGCTGGGGCTGTTTATCCGTGTCGGCAAGGGGAATGGTTTGTGTTTGGGGAGGGCGGGACAGCCGGCGGGACGGATAATTCGATTTGGGTTTTGGCAGGGGGCAGGGAAGAGGGTGGGCCTGGGAAAGGCCGTCAGCCCTGGCAGGGGACCGCGCCGGCTGCCCCGGCAGGTCACACTGCAGCCCCCGCCCTGCCGGCACGGCTCCAGCACCGCTCCCCGGCAGAGGAAGCGGGGGTCCGGGCGGCTCCTGTCCCCCCAGAGCGAGTCCTCGAAAGCGTCAGCACTAACGCACGGAGCCCTTTCATCGGGGAATATGTGAGAGCCGCCTGACAGCAGCGCCCAAGGAGACTGGCATGACGGCACGTCCCACGGGCCGCGTCCATCCACCGTGGCGCATGACTTCATCCACCTCTGAGTCATCCCCAGGGTGGGCAGGCAGCTCCTCCGGCCGCCCATCGCTGCTGCTGACTGACCCACTGCCGGCGAGAGCACCGGCGGCTTTGCCTGGCGGGACGGCTGCCCGCCTCCCCATCCCTACACCGCGTGGGAGCTGGGCGGCTTCTCCCCCCGGGAATTCACCGGCACTGCTGCAGGAAGCATGACCGGCGTGCTGCGGCCGCTCTGCTGCCACGTGGGCAACGCTACTCCAAAATCAAAGCGAATTTATTCTGGAATAAAAACCCCACACTCCGCACGGAATAATTATGTTGAAATTGAATCACTTTTCTTCCAGCACGGTTTCAGTCCAACGCTTGCGCTACTACAGCCCGGCTGAACAGCTTGCCCGAAGAGCGAAGCACATGGCGCTAATTGCCTAGTTTCAATTTTGGTGCCCCCTGCTACAGAATTAGGGGTGTTCGCAGAGAGATGCTCTTTGAAATACCCTGAAGAGCGGCAACTGCGACAGCCCCCCAGGCGGCACATCCATGCAAGGGCCTTTCATTACAAGCTCACGCAAATTTATGCTTATTACTGTACATTGAATATTGGATCGGATTTACCATGAGTCAAACTTTTTTCTTTCTTCCCCCCCCCAACGAGAAACTACACGCTTGGAAGTTATTCCTCTTCCCATTGATTTCCCTGTCAGGGTTAAATGGCATTTTCCATACCCGAACGCAGAGGATTATTTTCAAAACGATCCTCATCTCGGGAGCCTGAACATTATGCATAAGGATCCATCAGATGCGTGCGCCTTTCATTCACCGGTGCTGGGGAAGGCGGCGTGCCGGGAGCACGCGCCCCGCCTCGGAGCGGGCGGCTGCTCGGTTTTCTGACAAACTGGAAGCAGAATCACGTGAAGTCCCCACTCTTGGCAGGAGATTTTTAGCAATAAGTAGCAGCTTTATGAGGAACATCCTTTGCCAGGGGACCATCAGCCAAGGAGCAGTGGGATTCTTATTTTTTAATGGACTTTTAATAAGTAGGCCACAATGATAATCTTGACACCAGAGTAGCTTTATTTCTACGTGTAATTATCTCCACTTCAGTCTCAAGCTCCCCGCAGCCTCCAAGAGCAAATAAGACCACCAACCTCTCCGTGAGAAAAGGAGCAAGAAAACAGCATAGGGCCACTTGAAACGCTATTTGTATCAGACCTCATCCGCTCCTCTCATCTAATATCAAAGTCAACCTCTCCTCCCCTCCTCTAAATCAATTAAATCTCACTTTTGGCGTTTAACTGCTTGAACCCTTTACCAGAAGGAAAATCCATGCTTGGAGCATGGGCAGCACCGGGAGCGGCACCATGTCTCCCGATGCTGCAGGAAGACTGTTCGCAGCCCTGTCTCCAGTTCAGTCGACAGCCCCGCAAATGGCTGAACTGGTACAATGAAGGGGGAATGAGCAGGGAGGACGAGCAGCCGAGGTGTCGGCTGAGCCTCCGGGACAGGTTACTCCCAAATGAGAACACCTTCTGCAGGCATGGGCAGAACTTGAGCAGTTTCTGAAGGTCCTCACTAAGCAAAAATACCACCAGGAGCATCCCTCCATCCTAACTCTCCAGATTTGCCAGTATCTAACCTCTCCCATACTGGTCTATGCAGCCGCATGGTGACCCAGCCTGGCCCGGGAAAGCAGGTCCCATCGGCACTGCGCTCAGGGGAGAGAGACCCCGGCTCCATGAAGGGGTGCATGGGAGATGCTTCACTGCTCCCACCAGCTTCTGGCAGGACGCGGGACTTGTAACAACACATTCCTTCCTTCATTACCTTAAAATCCCACCCTAAAATGACCCTCTCGGCAGCACGGCCTCCCTCTGCGGCACAGACCCAGCCGTGCTGCCCCGCCAGCTCCGCTGTCTCCCCTCCGCAGCAGCGCCCTTCCCAAGCCTGCCCACAGGCTCTTCCAGCGCTCCTCTGCATGCAGCCTCGCAGGAAACGGACGCAAGCGACAGACAGGAATACCAGAGGTATTGCAGCACAAAATGCACATCTCAAGACCCCCCCAAGATCTTTGGTGGAGAGCTGCTCCAGGCTGGATTTTATGCAGCAACTCTTGTTCTGCACCTCTCTCCTACCGCTATTTCTGCAGCCAGCCCTTGGCTTTTAAAGCTTGTCCGAACATCCCACCTGAGCATCCAACAGTAACGGGAAATATTCACTGCTTCGCTTTCCCCTCAGACTCAGGCATCTGACTCTTCGTTCAAAATTAATAATGTTCTGGTTGAGGTCTGCTCCAGCGGAGGTGCAATCCACTCCCTTTGGTGCCCAGCAGCCTCCCTCTTAATGATTTACAAATATTGCTGTCCTCTACATGCAAAAACAGTCCTGCCTTTTTCTCCAGTCAATGCAGCAAGTCCCTGCTTCCAAAGGCTGGCACTGAACGAGGCTCCAAGCGGCAGCACACGATCGCCACTGCCCAGGCTGGACCAGCCTCATCAGTGAGGGCAAGCGCCGTGGGAAATTCTGCAGCCAAGGACGCTTTGGATACTTTTAAAAACTAAAATACAAAATAGTACCTGCTGGGTGCAGGACAGGCAGGTCTGCAGCCGCAGGGGTAAGTAGGGAGATGCAGAGCAGAGCATTAGATTGCCTCTCTCCCTCCACACTTGTTACTTGCTCAACTTAACATTGCAAACAGAATGAGCTGTGCTGAAAGTCTCCACCACTAACAAGAAACAAATGTGGCTTCATGTTCTAGTTGCTGTGATCTACCAAAACAGACCATGGTAAACACTATAAAAATGTACTGGAGGGAACCACCCTGTGTTTGCTGGGAGAGGGACTGGATAATCTAATAGGGCTTTATCCATCTCTAATGTCTCTGAAAAAAAAGAAGGGAAAATTGGGCCCCGTCCATGACATTCGTCATGTGCTAGCTATTCTGATGTCTTAATGCTTCAGAAATCAAATTGGAGCGAGGCTACCTATCTGCCTCTCAATCAGGATCCAGACCCAAGTGCTGCTTTTTATGGCCATGCAGCGTGAGGAGCTGCTGATGTCAGCAGTGGCACGGGCCAGGCCAGTTTTTCCAGCCCTATCCCCACGTTATCTGGAGAGATACTCCCTTTGTGGTCACCTCACTCTCCTCATGACGTGAATAATCGTTCACTTCATGGACCTGGGGATCCACCAGCGGGACCTTCCTCTGGCTGAAAGCAGCCGCGGGGACAAGGTACCTGCCCAAAATGTTAGCCCTTATCTGGGTACCCGGGTATTGCGGTATCAGCAGCAAAACGGGCATGGTCATGTCTAGATTTATATCTTGGCCACGGTAACGGCAAGGGTCGATTCAGTCACCTACCCCCAGGCACCTCGCGGCGCCCTTGGTACCTGCCCAGCCCTTAACGAAAGGGTTAAGGATCTCCTCTAGTTTCAGCGCCAAATCTGCCAGCCCCCACGGGGATCTCAGACACCCTCCGGCATTTCAGATAGCTTTACAGGCCTCTGCTCAGGCGGTCACCAGAAGTCACTCCCACCCAAGCCATTCTCCTCCCATACCTTTTCCCGCAGGAAGAGCCCTGGGCAGGCTCTGCAAGGCAGGAGCATCCCTACCCAGCACGCAGCCCTCAGGAGCCCTGTTCCCGCTGGCACGCCGGCTGCCATCTCCGGAGGGGAGAGAGAAACGGGCTCCACTCGGTTCTCGCACGGAGCTGCGGGCTGCATGGGCAACCCCGTGCTACTCCTCACGCCTGGCCAGGTTTCCTGCATTCACTCCATCCCCTTTTTCAAGCATCTCGGGTTTGTTGTTTACTTTTTAAAGCTACTGTGACCTTGGCATGGAGACAGACAAACATCAACTGCCAGAAAACAGCATGTTCTGAAAAGCTACACAGAGCAAAACCACAGCCCCATCGCAGTTTGCAAGCAAGATCTCCATCTGGGGAGGGGAGAAAAGAAACATTTGGGGTGCTCAGAGAAAGGGCTGCTGAGAAGCTGGAAGTGCAAAGCGCTGCAGCTCCTTGCTCAGCCCGAGGGACGACGTTTCCATGCGCTCCTCCAGCTCTTACCTGGCTCTTCCCGCGCCGCCGGTAATTCCTTCTTACAAGGTTCTTGTAGTTCTCATTCTTTTTGGTCAGGTAGTAATACAGGACGCAGTCTGCCACCGTCTGCAACGACACGGACAAGTCAGGGAACAGAAGGTCCTGGCCCCTCGCTCTGTCGGGGTGCAGACTTCCAGGAGCGGCATTCAGGCCCTGCCATCGCCAGGTCTTCTGCTGCTTCTGAAGATCCGCAGCCCAAGCAGGCTTCCCCGCACCTCCCTCCCAAAGCCCTTCGATGGAGCTGGACGAGAGGGGAGATGCACGCTGTCCTAGTAAAAAGGCTCAGCTCTTCCAAGGGACAGACCGGGGCCATCCCGCAGGCATGCCGAGATGGAGCCGGGGGTGCAGAGCAGAGAGCACCCCGCATTGGAAGCAAAGCAGGGGGAAGGGCTGACCCCAGATGACTGTGGCAACTACAGGCAGAAGAAGGAGAGCCGCCTGTCACGCTCTGTAGTGGTTATGCGAGGCACAACCTGCCACATGACTGTCAGCTAGTGTTATTTCCAGCCCTTAAGCTCGCTGGCTCAAGCACACATGACTTTCTTGCGGACAGATTGAGATCGCGGCCCTCAGGAGCCACCATCCCAACTCCCATTCCAGTGGCTGGCTCCGCGAGTGCCATCCCAGATAGGACACATTAGGAAAACAAGTTGCTGGCGCCGGGACATATTCTGCTCCTGAAGAGCACAGAGTGTGCCATGCTGGGAAAAGTCCTTTGCTGAACTGGGTGGGCACCTGAACACTGGTCTTGGGCTACACCTTCATATACAGGACCAGTGGCTGCGTGAACAGAAATACTCCCACAGACCCATCGTGCCTGCAAGCGCCCGGGAAGAGGGTGGTGCTGCGCGCTCCCGGGGGGTGCACGGGGACTGCGCTCTCCCTATCCCTGTGCAAGGAGTGGAACCATTTGCAAAAACAGATTGCAACTTTTAAAGTGTTAATTGGATCTCTTTCTAATCTAGCCCTGATTATACACACACACGCGAACACAAAAACTTACAGTCATCTGTTCCAAGGGCTAAGATCACTATTTTTTTATAATGCAATTTAAAAATCTATTAATTCATTACATTGAGCCATACTTTGCATCTCTCTCCAACAGGATAATGGATGTGTTCTGTATAATAATTACAGCCTGATTTACAAACGAGTACAAATAAAATTAGAAGACATTTTACAGCTTGGAACACAGACTGGATTGTGAGCATCATCCAAGTCCCACCGCTTTCGGCTTTACCAAGTGGGAAAGGCTGAAAAGAGCCTGGTATCTTACAGCAACAACAGCAGGACGAGGATGCTGCTGGCCTTTGCCTGCTTGCTGCTTCGGACAGGGAAGTCAAGGTCTTATAAATTATTTCCCCAGCCCGAGTCACACAGAATCAGAGAATAATTTAGGCTGGAAGGGACATCTGCAGGCCACCCCCCCCGAAAGCAGAGGGGTTCCCCCAGAGCAAGTGGACACTGCATGGATGAAACACTGCATGAGATGGATGCAACTAACTACAAGGACCAGAGAAGAAGCAGCTCTCAAGTGTTTCTGGCTCAGGAGAGCACTGGCTCATCATTGTCTTTCCAGGCTGGGTGTGTCCAGGATCTGCCCCTATGGCCTGTCCCACAGAAGGTACCTGACCTTGCTCAGAACGGGACCAGAGACTTGCTCTTCCTTCAGATCTCTTTTTAAACCTTTCGTCCATCAGCCCAATTAATAGCAAAAAGGAGAAGTCCAAGAAGCACAACATAGAGGCTTGGGAAAGATCAGGCCCTCCTGCAAGCAAACTATTCCTAAACACCAAGGGGAGGTGTGTGTGCTTACAGGACACCAACCCAAACTGCTGGATGAACTGGGACTCAGCCCATCCTCAAGGTCCCTTCCCTGCACGAGGAGGGGACCTCTCCGCTTTGTGCTGGGCAGCCCGGTGTGCGACAGCCTGGCTGGTGCAAAATGCCTCCAGGAGACGCTGGAAAGCAGCTCTGCCAGGCAGATCACGGGGTGGGCTGCAACGCCTACACGCCAGGCTGGATGCATTCACACATCTCGCGGCTCTGAGCTCCCTGGCTCTCCGCAGCTGAGTCAGTCCCTTGTCTCTGCAGGGAGCCGGGAGGCGTCTGGACCGTGCCCGGGGCTCTGAGCCACCACCGCCCACAGGTGCCCAGCATCTGCCGGCTGGTCCAGCGCCAAAGGGAGCCGTGTGATGGAGAAAAGAGAGCGCCAGGCAGGTTAAAGCCAGGCAGGGAGGCTTACCTTCCTGTCCAGAAACGATGCGATCAGGCCAAAGTTCTTCGGATGCTGCATGAACCTGCGGGAGCGAGAGGGAGAACATTAGGGTACATGCTGGCTCTGACCCTCCTTGCAGCTGGGCTGCTGTACCCAGAGCAGCTAGGCCAGCTCCTGGAGGGACTTAGGGGTTTGAGAAAATATTTTTCTGCTGCTCGGCTTCCCAGAAAGACAGGAACTTTAAATTTAGCCCAGTGGAGCTGGGCTGATTGGAAGCTTCGATGTGCAGATGTTCATCATGGGGTGGGAGAGGGCAGGGGACTGGCAGCACCTGACAGCTACCCATCACCCTGCTTGATCCCACGGCCACCCAAGCCCGCACCAATGGCAGGATGGGCACAGAGAGCAGCTGCACACCTGGCCAAGGCCTCAGGATTTGGCAAGGAATCGCCATCAATGGCCGAGCGCAAGGACCCCGCAGCAGGGCCGGGGGTGCCCCCGCCGCCGAGCAGGACCCCAAGCCCAGCTGGGCTGTCAGGAGCAGCTGCAAAGGACGGGAAGGGAAACCCAAACCCCAGGAGGAAGCACAGAGCTGCCACGTTGCCGAGTTGCTCAAGAGATCCCCGGTGGCACGGCAGCAGCTCTGAGGAACGCCGCCTCCTGCCCAGCGAGCGGAGGAGCTGTCAGCAGGCTCACCCGTGGCTCTGACAGCCCGGGAGGGAGCATCGCCTGCCGGAGGGGGGAAGCTGTCCCCGGGTGCAAAGATGTCTTCTCCAACAAATCCCTTCACCTAGCCGGTGGGGAAGTGCCAAAGGCCAACAAGACCTTGGCACGAGGTGCTCCCGCTGGCAGGAGGGCAGTTAACTGGTGCATCACCAAAGCACGGGGAGCCTGGCTCTTGTGCTGGGGCTGGAGCACAGTGCTGGCCCCAGCAGAGAGGGGAGCCGAGTGGCCAGGGCCAGCCCTGCTCGGCACGTGTGGCTCTGCCGGCTCCCAGGAGCTGATGGCTCTGTGCCCTGGGCAAATGGTTCGGAGGCAAGAGGTGGGTGAGCTGCGGTGTGGGTGCAACACAGGTGGGATGTGTCAAGCAGCTTGGTGCCTCCGGCCCTGCCGGTGATTCCACCGAGGCTGCTGGCTGAGCCCTCTCCTCCCACCCTCGTTGCTCAGCCCCGCTGCCAAACTCAGGGTCAGGGCACCGAGCTGAGCTCGGCGAGGGCCTGACTGACTTCAGCCACGGCAGCAGGACGCGGGTGCTGTCACCCATGTGCCGATGCCCTTCTTGATGCAGGACCCCCATCTGCTTTGGGTGGCACTGCAAGAGCCCTGTCACTGTAACTGGTTACCAGAGTAAGGGATTTCATCTCTGCTGCAGCCAGCACGAGGCTTTTGTGGGTGACACATGGGACGGGGGGGAACGTGGGAGGAGGGAACATGGACAGCAATGGGAGCCTGATGCTCGGGCCCTTAATGGGGACCCAAGTCTCTCTCAGCCTTTCTGCCATCAAGTGTTTTGAAGGGCAAAACTTACTGCCCCCCCCCCAGATATAACACAGACACCAAGGGAGATCCCACAAGACACATGACTAAACAAATGAAAGAAAAGAGAAACCAAAAATGCCAGGCAGACAAAAAAAAAAAAAAAAAAAAAAAAAAAAACACAGGGGGGCCGCACGACTAGCCAAACCTGTTCATATTTCCCTGGAGATCAGTTTACCTTTAAACATGGCCTTTACGTGGGAGATTTCCGTAAATAAAAAAATAAAGTGGGATCTTCCACTCAACCATGCTTAACCTGCTCTTAGTTTCCAGAGTGGTAGAACTGGTGTTGGGAGGGAGGCGTGCTGCATCCAGCAAGGAGCTGCAGCGTACCGAGGTAGAGCTCAGGCACCATCCCTGCTCCCGAGGCACAGGGCATCAGGGAGCGTTAGTTGTCTTAAAGACACTGGTGGGAATGGTCCTGCCAGCAAACTAAGCAGCTGGGCTGCTCAGACAGACTGGGATCAGAGCACAGCTCTGGAGCTGGCTCGTCACGCTGTACGCAGCACAAACCAAGGGCTGACCAAGGGACAGGGTTTTCAAGGCCACGTTATCAATGATGCTAACGCAGTGTCAGGGGCAATGCAGATGACAATCCACTGTTTTTCATGGGCCAGGCCGTGCCCCTGTGACGAGGGATGGAAGCTGCATTCTCGCGGTGCCCAGCACAACAGGGCCTCGATGCCTGAGCGGGATCAAGGGGTACCGCAGCCATCTCTGCTCCTTCACCAGCAAACCACGGCCCCCCTGGGAGCAGGCTAGCGATGGGCTCTCAATAAAGAGACCTGAAAACCTGCCCAGAAGCGAATCAAATCAGACTCTTCCTCGTGGTTATGTTTTAACAGCTAAAATGGGTTTAGACCTGGAGCTTGTTGGCCTTGCAGTGCCTGGCTGTTTTCTCTGAGAGCCCCTGCCATCAGGGCTGAACAAAAGGTTGCACCAGGTTTTCACGGTCTCAGGAAGAGGCCAGCTCTGGGTCACGATCACGGATGACACAACTTTGGTTCACCTTATATACCCAGGCCAGAAGCTGCAGCACACCAGGCAGCTTGGCTACCCGCACACTGGGATCGGGGCGAGAGCCAGAGCAGGACTCCCTTGGCCCTCCTTACAACTCCTAAATACCAATCTCTTAAAATGAGCTTTGTGAGAGCCCTGAAATGCTGCTGTATTTATGCCTCGAGCTCCGCATCACCCACGGCGATGACACAGAAACAACCATGCACAGCAGGATGCACGAGCTGGGTGTGGATCCTTCCAGCCCCATTAGCCAGGCACAGCCCCACCATTAAAGACCAAGTAATTAGCCTTTGCGTCATTTGCGGGCAAGCCTCGTTGTTTGGAGTGTCACATTTTAAGGCTAATTAGCAATGAGGATTCTCCTCTACCAAAGGCTTGGAGCCTGTTTGCTTGTTTTGTTCTTTTTCGGTCCATCTTGGCAATTAGTTATTTCAGCTGCAAACAGGAGTCGTCATAAGCAGGGAGAGGAGGAGGGATCCCGGACACGGAGAGGCTTCCAGCGTGGCTGGCCATGGGCCTGTTGGTAATCCATGGGGCCGTCTCACAATTATCCGGAGTCCAGACTAAGGCAGTGCTGCCACAAGGGACGAGGTGGCCCTGGCGCACCCACGTACCCCCGTGTCCCTCGTGTCCAGAGCAGCGAGCCATGGCAGAGCTCATCCTGCTGGAAGCTGAACTCCAGCTCTGTTTTTACAGACACACAGGACACACCGGGGGCACCAAGGATGCTCCGGTCCTCCCTGCAAACACACCGGGGTCTCTGCTATGCTATGAGATACGGAGGAGTCTGGATGTGAGACTGAGCTGGGACCCACCAGCTTGGCTGACAGCGTGGTTGGTACCCAGAGAAGGGATCAGCAATCCCACAAGTGATCTCGGTCGTTAAAGCAAAGCAGTTCTCAAGCACTGCTTGCAAACAGGAGAAAGCACCGCAGCCAGTTTGCATGTGTCTGATGTGGGAATGCATCCATGGAAAAGAGCAGCCTGTGGCAAATCCTGCAGAGAGCAGGACGGAGCGCTGAGGGACGGGCACCGGCTGGAAGCTGCAGCCCGAGGGGGTCTGCGTGGGGGAGTTGGACGTTCACAGCCCCAAGAATCCCTCTGCACATGCACACACCAACCATACAGAAAGGCCTGAGGTTTCTGTGCAGGTGCATCACCCTGTGCCCAGGTCCAAGGCAACACAGGGACCGCGGCCGTGTCCCTGAGGGTCAAGACAAGCCCTTGGGAAATTCATGCCTTAGCGTGCTGGGGCCTCGGCCAAAGCATCGCATGGGTCCTGTCTATACTTCCCAAGGGCTATGCAAAGAGAGGCGTGTGGGCTGCACTCACTTTTCCCGGAACGTCTCCTTCTCCTGTTCACTCCACATGTTCATCACTTGCCGGTCCTTGTAGACCTTCATGGGGTCATCCATGAGGCCGTTCATGTTGATGAATTTAATGCGCTGCTGGTCAGCGTCGTAGAGCATGGGCGGGATGACAGCGAGCTGGCGCATCTGCTTCTCCAGGTTCTTTGGGGAAAGCAGAGAGAACAGTTGGTCAGCACCATGGGCCCGGGGGGGCTGCAGGGGACAGATGTTCGAGAGGAAAGGACAGGCGGAGGAACAGGAGAACTCAAAAGCAAGCACTAGACAGTTTTATTGCTAGAGTAATTGTAAATTAAATGCTGAAAGAGGCTATCGCTGTCAGCCAGGAAACAATTAATCTTTCATTTTGAAATAAAAGGCTTTAAGATACCATGTGGAAATGTCTGACTTAAGCCAAACAGCTCCTGACCATGACAAGAGACAACTCAAAGCAGTGGTGGTACAGGGAATGCAACCCCCTTCCCAGCCATCAAACCCATGGCCACGTGGAGGCTCAGCCCCCCACCCCAGATTGCGAGGGAAGCAGCTCAGCTCTGCAAAGCTTTCTGAAGGGGTGGGCAGAGGGAGACATTGTGTTTCCCTTCCACGGGAAACCTAGTATGGTTCCAGGAGGTTTCAAATGTCACCCTAACGGGGCCATCTTCCTTTCTTTCCTCTTACTACAACACCCTGGGACATAATCTGATGCCTTTACCCCACCCTATTCAAGTGCAAAGTTCATCCAGAACCCCGGCTGCACACCAGGACAGGACAGACTGGGCACACTGGTTTCCTTAAGCATTTGCAACAGAGTGGCCAATACGATGTCTCATTTGCACCGTCCCCTGCCTGAATGCTGGGACTGTCCCTTCGGCTGAGCTGCTGGTGGTCCCTCGGCACAGGTCCACTCTGCAGGGACGAAGGGATGCTCTGGCCACCCTCGTTCATTTGTGAGCAGCACCATCACTCTGAGTCCTCCCTGTCATCTGGGATGGCACTGGTCAAACATAAATTCCAACCCTTGACCCAGGAAGGCCAGGTCTCAAGTGCTGTTATTTTAATTTACAGCTGGACGCTGGTTCCTGGGAGAACAGTAATGTCCAATCCTTCCAGCAAGCTGCCAGCCCAGCACCGCTCTGCTTCCCTGCTACAACTGATCAGACCCGACCTCCTCTTCCTAAAACACAGCTCTCTGCACAGACACCAACGTTTCGACTCATTTCATCACATTCCTCACCCACACTAGAACGCCTCCCGTTTAGCAGCCGGCTGCTTCAGATGGCCTGGAGGTGTCATCCCACCGTGGGAGGTCAGGGACAGCTTGCAGCCAGAGCATCGACCCTGGCAACCGCAGACCGCTCCAGCCGAAAGGAGAAAGCTCCTGTGCCGAGCCGCGGCAGGCAGAGAGGCAGCTGGCAGGAGCACTGCCTGCAGCTGAGAGCGCAGGGCCTCTCCCTTCATCTGGCAAGGTCTCGGGGTGCTGAGCGCTGCAGATACACCCCACCGGCAGGCAGCCAGACCTCTCTCCTCTCCAGCCAACGCGTCGGGGTGGAGAGCTGGCCCCTGCCGCCAGCAGTGCTCCCCAGCTCTCACCTCCCTGCTCCTTCCAGCCCTGTGGAAGGGCTGGAAGCTCTTAAGGTGTCCTCTGAGACAAGCAAAGCGGTGCCTCGGGGCTCAGCAGAAGGCTGTCGGGGTGGAGTTTAGCAGCACACTGTGCAGGAGGTTGGAGGCAATCGTCTAATGCTCCCCTTGGCCATGACCTCTGCAGAGCTGTGAAATTTCCCTCTGCTTCCGAGATCCATGTCCTCTGGGTCATCACTTTAACTGGCTAACAGCAAACTGCCTGGGACCCAGGAGCGCACCGTGGTGCACAGGCAGCAAACATCTCAGCTATTGCTGGGCAATGGCTGCTCTCCCCTCCCAAACGCGATCCATTCACTGCAGCTCGCCTCCGTGCCAAGAGAGTGGAACCCTTGTGAAACCAGATCCAAACGAAGCCAAGGTCACGGGGATGTTTCAAGATGAATGAAGCACTCCCAGAAGATGTGGGCCAACTGGCTCACATACAAACCATTCATTCCATAGGATTCCCCTGTGTCAAGCCGCACAGCCCATTCAAAACAAAACGAAACAGAAAAACCCCTCCACCCAGCAGCCAGGGCGCCGGCTCCCTTCCCTTCCCACCTCCACTTCCAGTTTAAACCAACAGCCAGGAGGTGTTTGTAGGGTGCTACCCACGATGAGCAGCACGCTGGAGTTTCAGGTCCCTAGGAGGCAGTCGAATGCCAATAAACCCTACCCACTGGCCACCAGCTCCTGGAGTGCTTTGCTCCATGTTTTGCTCCTGCAGAACCATTGCACAGCTCCATTACATCTCCTGGGCAGCTGGAACGATGCTGCTGGGTGTTAAAAGAACACCTCACTTTGGATCCTGTCCAGAAAGCATATTAGGCATCATGGCAACCTCCCTAACCTCAGTGTGGCCTGAAGTTAGTGGGATTTGGTATCAGATTTCACCATGGGACCTGGTGTGGGACCTGCTGGTACTCCCCTGGCTTCCTCAGAGAAAAACAGATTAAGAGGTGAAGAGGAGGAGAAAGGACAACCTGGTCTCACCTCTTGTTCTGAGAGCCCGTCAATGATTTCTGACACCTCGTGCTCACTGCGCGCAGCCGACATGGAGAGCCCGCCGCTGCCCCTCTGTCCTACCCTGCTGGGAAAGGGCAGTGAAACACTCAGACACTGATGCTCCGTTTTGTAAACCACATTCATGGCAACTCACTGGTCCTGTTGTCCTCCGTAACGGCCATATCCCAACACCCCACCCAGGCCACCCCATCCCACACTGCGGGAATGGCGCCTGCTGCAGCCCCGTGGGCTCTGACAGCGCTTACTCCTGCCCGGAGAGCACCGTCCCCCATGTCCCCGGGTTTAGGGCTCACAGGTCGAGAGCCTCAACCAACCTTCCTTACCTGTGCCAACAGCCACCTCCTGGATCGCTACAACAGAAAGATATCTCATACCCACCCAATCTCTCCCCCCATTATTTTCTCCCTTTCATCACACTGCAGCAATGGCGTAAAGGTGTCAGCGTTAGCACTGAGCCATCAGCACTGTGCCACCGCATCTGGTTTGCAAATGCTGCAGGAACTTTTAAATCAAAACCAGCCATTGACATCTTTCCCCCCCAATATCACCCAACATAACAGCCATGCATCCCAAGGAATTAAAACTTTTCTTATTAAGCACGTAAAAGCTTAAAACATTTCTCAGTACCATTTCTCCCCTTCTCTTTAAGATAAAATAAAGCCACTGATTAGGAAGTTTGGACCCATCCAGCTGTTTGCGGGGCACAAGGAGGGGATGCTGGCGCAAGGGTTTGGGTTCTGCACACGTCAGGCGTCCCTGGGCAAGATCCCGGGGCTGAAATGGGAAGGACGGGGAGTTTTCAGCAAGAAGGGTGGAGATCATGAAATTGTGTCTCCTCCTGGCAGGGAACAATATGACCTCAGTTGTGCTTCCAGCGAGGAGGAGGAAATGGACAGGGGATGGGACAGACAGGGGACATCCCTTTCAGTGAGACACTTTGCTCCTTTCGTATCGTCTGCAGTCATTCCTATAACCTCTGCAGACCTTTCTTCTCCCTGCCCATGCTCCAATCAAAGCATGTGCATGTCTTAAATCATCGACATGACCAAATCCATCTGCAAGTCTTGTACGTCTTCATTTAGGCCCACCAGTAAGGCAATAATTAGTGCAGCCCCAGCCAGGCGGCTGGCCCAAGGGAGCTGCCCCTTGCTTCCATACGGCCAGCCAGGAGATCAGCAGCAGAAGGGAGATGGGCAACCACATTCCTGACATTTTTTCTTCTCTCTTGGCTCTGTGCTGAGCCACCCTGGGGAAAAAGCAGCAAAGCTGCTTGTCCGCTGGCTTCTGCCTTCGACTAGAAGGGGAGAAAAGGGACCAACAGCCATCCCAGCCTGCTCCTTCCGCAAACAAATCCCACACCCATCCCCAAAGAAAAGAGAAAGGCTGTCCGATACCAGCTCAGCCCCTTCCTACCGCTTCTCCTCTAACCTCTGCATGCGCTCTTGCAGTTCCCGCTGCTTTCGAATCTCCGGGAATTGCTTCTCATAGTATTCCCGCACTTTGCTCTCTTTGGCACGCCGCCGGGGGTTATTTTCGATGCGCTCCACTTTTTTTTCCCAGGCCTCCATCAGCTGGTCATAGCGCTGGCAAAACTTCTGTTCCTGAAAGGGCAGAGGGAGAGAGGGAGCTCAGGAGCTGTGCCTGGGAAGGGCAGCTCCTCCAGGCCTGTCCCTCGATGGCTGCTCAGGCTGAGCGTGAGTCACGTTGCTTAAAGAAATATGGTTCATTAGGACATGGACATGTTCCAGGGTCTGGGAGCAACCCAAGGGCAAATTCTCAAAACGTGCCATCAGGTACCTTCAGGCTTTTCCTTTCCAGACCCAACATCTTTGGTGAAACCATGACTCTCGTCCAGCACGGCTTTGCCCACCCACCACACCTTCTGCCTGAGCGTCTTCCAGCGCCTTGGGTGCTTGATTCAGCAACCAAAGCCCCAGTGCTGGGGAGGGAGCCCCTGCTCCAACACGGCTGGCCATGCACGGGGAGAGGGCAAGTCACCTGCCTGAGGTCCCCAAGCAAGAAGGGACTGAAACATGGCCTTGAGAAAGGACACAGGAGGGCAGGAGAGCAGGTCCCTGCCATGCAAGCGGGGCATGCAGAGCTGAAATTTTGGAGCTGCCAGCTCACCATGCCGGGAAGAGGCTTGCTGAGGCGCCCGCAGCCGGGCACCCCGTCCCACCCACACACACCGGCCCCAGCACTCACGGCTCTGTGCCAGTGTGGGGACTGGGGCCACAGGGCAGCTCCGCACAGAGGCCTGGCTCCCCGAAACCAAGAGCCAGGCACCCAGCCCCTGCCCGAAGCTGCCTGGCGTGGCGGTCCGGCTGCGCCATGATGCTCCTAGCTACTCCACCATTCTGGAAAGCAGAAGTATTTTTCAAGCTGCTGCTCCTCCTTTTTGGCCCAGGAGCGGGACGAGCACATCCCCACTGAGGGCTATCTCAGGCTCTGCCGAAACGCGGCGCTGCAAGGGGTTTCCATGCCACGTCCCCCCAGGTGATGTCCTTGTGGCACACCCACCCAGCCACCCATGCAGGTCCAGCACTGCACTTCTGCCTGGTATTTATGGGACCAGTCCGGTAACCATAACATTAAAATATTACTTGCAACACAAATGAGACTCTCCCCACCACCCTCCGAATTGCTCCTCCCTCCTCTGGCCACTCTCTTGCTGGAGGAGAAGGCCCACAGACAGGCGAGGTCCACAGCAAGAAGATGCCCGCCCATGGTCCCCGACGGCTGCAGCAGTGACAGGAGCGATGGCGCCCAGCCTCACGTGAAAGCAGCTGGGAGACCAGAGGGGGTTTTAAGGTTTCATTTTGAGTGAAACAAATGCCTTCTAGGCCCCAAATCAGGAAGCGAAAGCAGATGTCGCTCTGCAAAATAATCAATGGCAAACCCCATGCCGCTTTGCAGAACGGGCAGCTTGACGCCACGCTTGGCACCGCAGCAGAGACGGGGGGAATCCAGATTTCAAAGAAATAAACTCATCTCTTGCCATCACTGCCCCACGACCGGAGGGACATCCAAGGCTGTAGGATTTCTCAGATGTGCTCTGCTCTCGTCTCGCTCACTCTCGGCCACCAAAAAAAAATGGGGAGAGGTAAAAAAAAAAAACAACCCAAACTGATGGAAACGCCCAATTCCAGGTCAGGAGGCAGCTGGGTTACCCCGAGCCAAGCGGGTCAGTCGTGCCATGGACCCCGAGCACCGGCAGCTCCATGGCCCGTCGCTGGTGCCAGGCACCCGCAGCAACCTGCGGCCAGTGTCACACCGATCCTGGCACGTGGGTTTGGCCCAGCCATCCTGGACCTGGCAATAACCCAAGTGCAGCAACACGTCCTCTGATCCCCGTGGCCTTTTGGAGGCACCTTGACAGTAATGTGGGGTGGACAAAGCACCTCAAACCCTGCAGCTGATGCAGACTAACACTTCCCCCCCCCCCAATAAATTAATTCCCATTTGCACGCCCAGAGCCAGAGGCTTTCCTGCCCTGCACAGATGCACAGGAGATGCTTGGGTTTCGGCAGGAGCTAAAGGAAATGTAGTAAGATGAAAGCGAGGAATGAGAACAAAAATAAAAATGCCCTAAAAGCCACCAAGGGGAATCTTGCACTGCAGGCAAGGAGCTATAGGTAACGCCAACAAACCATGGCAGCTTGGAGAAATCACAGCTGCTGTATTTTTACCCCTCCTGAAGCAATGCTATCAGCCCCCCTGAAAAAGAGAGCTCCCACCCTGCCAGCAAATCTGCTACATCCTCCTGCTTTCAGAGCATCACATTTGGGAAGAGGCTAAAAATACCCTGCAAAGTTTATCAAGCCTCAGCACCGGGAGACAGCCGGTGCCCCGTGCTGCGTGCCAGCCTGCGCCGCGGCCGGGGGACGGCCCAGCATGAGGGCTCGGTCTGGTGAGAAGCTCTGAGGCTTTGAAAGGTTTTTCATTCCCCATGGGAATGAGCCAGCGCTGGGTCCCGCACCGCCACCGCCCTGGCAGAGCCGCCTGGCACGGCCGCCGGGCTGTTTCACAGCCAGCAGGCAGGCTCTTTTTCTTCCTTTTCCCCCACTCTTTGGGACAACTGGATGAAAGCTTTATCCAGAATTCCTCTTTTAAGGAACCGGTATTTGCAGATGGAAAAAGCAACATCAACGTCACACTGCTGATTTCCCCAGTAGCTCACACGCCGGCAGCGGGGCAGGCAGTACCAAAGCTCCCCGCTCACACGACTCAGCCCTCCAGAGCACAGCTCTGTTATGAACCAGCCAAACACTTCTGACTTGCATCTGCTTTCTTAAAGCCCCTTCCCACCCTGGAGCAAAGAGATCCTTCCTGCCACGCAAGCTTCAAACCCCACCACAGCGGGGCTGGTCTGCAGCATCCCTGTTTAGCGCTTTTTGGTCCAGCTGGGATACATGCTCCCTGCAATGCTTTGCCATCCTTCAAAAGCCAAGATCACAGGCACCTTATAGCACTGTGCATTCCCCAGATCTTCACAGCTCAATCACAAGGAGAAGCTCCCGGTCAGGCACTTCAGGAGCAGAAGCATCTCTTCCTTCTTCGAGCATCCTCTGAGCAGCCATAAGCAAGCATGTCCATTCCTGAGCAACCATCTGTGCCGGCTTTTAGCATCGGTGCTTCCTCTGCTCCCCTTCCCGGCTGGGCTCACCAGCCCATCAGTCTCTCAATCACACAAGTAAGTGATGGCAAGCCAAATCGGACTTGACATGTGTATCTAAAAATGGATGAATAGTAACACCGCCGTAGCAGCTGAAGGCAGTTTGTAGGCTGTGCCAAGCCCGAGCCCTCCCACAGCCCACACTCTTGCAGCTCCAGGGAACAGAGCAGCTCTTCGGAGGGGAGGGGAAGAGCGAAGGTGACAGGAGGAACCAGTCCAATTCCTATGCAAGTCCCACGTTTTTATTTCCCTGGCTGATAGAGATAAACCTCTTACAGCCAGAACAGCTCCCTTTACCCTTCTCTCTCTGCAGCATCACCCCTCTGATGGCAATTAAACATCTTCTGCTGTGCCAGCCTCGGTGGGGGCAGGAGGAAGCCCTGCAGATCCTCCGGTGCGGCTCGCAGGGCTGGACCCTGCAGGGACCGAGCTCTGACCCTGCTCCAGCCAGCCCTGGGCAGCGACAATACCCCAGAATGTAAAAGAGCCAGAAAGAAACACTGGCACATAGATGGGCTTTGCTAAAAATAGGGTCTGCTACAAAATAGGCAGAAAAATAGCTAAGCGTACCCATTTTGCAAACAGAATCAGCAAATGTATTCACTTTGCAAATTCAGCAACCGTATGTTGCCTATTTTGTAGAATAGGCAAAATGCTTCCCTAAACTGAAAAATCCCCTTTCAAGGACACTGAATAAACCGGCTGGCAGAAATTCACCTATTTTGCATGACAGGCGACTTTACTGAAAGCCGTATTTTAGGAACCGTGTTCTTGCAGCCTAATTAAACCTTTTCCCCCAGCTCCTCGATATTCACAACAGAGCGACTCACTCCGCATTTAGCGCAGTAACCGGCCATTTCCACCAGAAAGCAGCTCCTGGGCAGTTCCCTTCTGGTTGCAATAAAACCACACGATGCTTTGCAATCCCTGTTTTCAGGAAGGGAATATTGATCCTCTTCCCACAACTGCAGAAGGCCTCGGCTGCGGCAGGTGAGGTGCCCTGACCGCACCGACTGCCACACTGGGTCGTGCTGAAGGCGTAAGCCCTGTAACCCCTTGCTAGAAACCTGGAAGTAGTTTTATCATGGAAAACACTAAACAAATATGTATTTGGACAGAAATGGGAGACACAACCATCCCTTTGGAGTGCAAGATCTGTGGCTTTTGGAAGATTGCTACAAAATGGCGGAAAAATAAGAAAATAATTCAATCGCTGGCTCAGAAATGTCTGTGTAAACAGCCTTATTGGAAGCTGCTTTTAAAAGCAGAGCCTTCCCACCACTTCCCAGGGTTGATTATTTTGAATTTTTCCAACAATTCTTCCCAGCCAGAGCACTTCTGTCCAAAATCAGCACCAAAGACGCTCAGAAAACCTGCACCATTGGCAATTTAAGATGCTAACGCCAGCACCTGAGCCTGCCCCAGAACAGAGACACCGAGCCAGGAACCAGTATTTACACCTTCCATGTAAAACACAAAGCCCTGTGTCATGAGCTGAATCACCCTTCATGGAAAGATGCCCCAGCATCCACCTTCCCGGTGCGGGCTGTTGGTTGCTTCTGGCATTTCCCCTTTTGTGCTGGTTTGGCCTCTCAGCTCCCGCGGGCGACTACCACAGGCAACCGTCAGTGCTGAAAACGCAGAAACTCTGTAAATCCCGCTTGAACTTTCTCCTCTATTTACTAGGGACTTGCAACAAATGCCTTCGAAGTCTCGTAATAAATCCCACCTTCCCCCTTACCTACCCAAGAACCATCTCCTGGGAGGACACTGGAACTATCTCACAGGTAAAGCTGCCTAGAAAGTAACTTGATCTTTGTTTTAAACCACAAATTCCTAGAACATCGCTCTGTGGTCAGCTGGAAAGAGTCAGATCGGTCTTCAGACCATTTATCGGAAGCACAGTCAGCTTGTTTCACACCTCTCTCAGGGTTCAATTACTCACAAAATAGACATTTACGCTGCAAATAGGCTCTCTGAGATCAATGAAGGGCTCCGCTGTGATTAAGCCAACCCCGAGTGTTTGCTCTGCAGGGGTACTTGCAGAGGGAGGTGCTGCCTGCAGCAGGATCGGGGACCTCTCCTTTACATCTAAGTTATTTTAAGCACAAGAGATGCCACAGCAACGCACAGCAAAGACCTGAGCACCAGCACTTCTCTGCTGGAAAACGTCCTTTTCTTTCTCATGTAATAAATTACGCTGCTTTATACACATAAAATAAGGTATAGCGGAATCACTTACCCACTGTTTGCGAGCATGATTTCTCCTCTTGAAGTACAAAATTAACTTTTTCCGCATTGCCTGGTTTCTGTAAAGGAAAAAAAAAAAAAAAAGATGAGATCCAGTTAACAAGACAGCTAAAATCCAAAGCCTGGCTCTCCCCACTCCCAAAGGAGTTTGCAGCACAGCTTCCACCTTAACTCCGAATTGCATCAACTCCAGAGCTGCAAACGCAGTTATCTGGGGACCTTGCGCCAGCTTTAGAGAAAGACCAACAAACCCTCCAACATGAGGAGCTTTGCCCACATCTGTCGGTAAAACCAGGACTGAGGTTGAGAACTAAAATTATAAACTCCCAATTCTGCAAACCTTTCCCGTGTGCTCAGCACTGAACACGTGCAGACCTCCAGCTCTGCATTTACCGAAGGGCAAGGCCATTTCTTGATCATTTTTACATTTTGATCTGCAAAAACCCAATGGGGTCTCAAGGGTTGGGGGGGCTCAGGCCAAGGGCTGTGTGGCAGGAGGCGGCTCCCCCCGGCACCCCCCGAGCAGAGGCCACCCCGAGCCGCCCCGCTCCCCAGGGCCAGCAGCGAGGGAGCTGTCAGCGCACACACGCTCCCAAGGGGTTATTCACCCCCGGGCTCCGAGGCGCTGATAAGGAGGCAGGATTGCGGCGGGGCTTGCACCACATATCTCCTAACCTCTTGCCTTCTTGGAGCCGTGCCTAACAAAGCTGCAAACAAACAAGCCAGGAAAGTTCAGCCGCTTGCAGAACTGGGACCTCAAAAGAGAAACTAGCCACTGCAACCACAACCAACCCTGCATCTGCCCAGACACCCCTCTGGTTTCTTCTTTCTGCTTTCTAAAGATGGCATGAAATAATTGCTCAAAGAGAAGCAGCGCCAAAGCAGTAAGGAGCTGGAAAGGTTGCACAAGCTCCCAGCCTACACGAACTCGAGAGCTGAGCTCCTGCAGTTGGTCCTGTTACTAATAGTCACAGCAATAAAATCTCTAGGTAAAAGGTAGAGACCAGGGGCAAAGGAGTTTCCTGAAGTCTTTTATCCAGATTAAAGGCAGGGTTGCAGTGTGTAATTACTGATCAGGAGCTTAACAGTCTCATGTAGGCATGTTCTGCAGGGTTTAGCAGAATGAAAAGACATCCTTGCTGCTTCCTCGTTCCCCGCCCTGCCTGGCCAGTGGGGTGGGAAGGAGACACCCTCCTCCCCCCGTCAATCCCTAAACCTCAGCAGGAGCAAAAGAGACTGTTTGGGAAGGGGCAGAGGGTCCAGCTCACTTAGACAGGGGCTGAGCCCCCAGTCCTGGCTAAATTTAGGGATGGAGAACATCGCAGAAAGTATGAAAATTTTTCACTTTTAAAACTTGCTACACCACTAAACCATGCACTGGCACGCAGGGGGAAGGACCGTGATCCTGCGGCACCTGGGGACCCCAGGTCCCTCCGAGCCCACCGCCAAGGCTGCAGCTCCGCTCCGGCAGCGTGCCGGGGGATCCCAGCCCACCTGCACGTGGGGACCCAGAGCAGGGGCACTGCCATAATACTGGCACCCAACAATTAGCAGGTTTCTTTAGGACAGCAATTCCTTGGGTGTGGGGTCTTCAGCCACCACCACCTCCAAGATCAAGTATGGCTGCTAGAGGAAAGGCAGCAGGATTTGGGACAGGGATGATTTCTTCTCCTGCACAGCACAGCCACACTCAGCTTTGTGGCATCTTTTTAGTTTACGAAGGAGGAAACACATCAGGCTTGATTCTTGGTCCTAATAGTACCATTTGGATTTAGTAACTTCTCTTTTCCTCTCCTAAGTAGTTACCAGAGGTATGGGATACACTCAGAGTCCCTGACCGCTGCCTGAGCTGCACTCCATCTTCATTCCCTTTGATTTTGCCTTGAACGCTTTGGTGCAAAAATAGACCTTGATTTCCAAGGCAGTGCTAACAAGCGGCACTCGTAACTCCTCCTGCGAACGGAAAACACCAGCTACCGGCTGGGAACAGACGTCAGCTTGAGCCACACAGCCCCAAATCCCCACGCACTCCCAATTCCAGGCAGCACCAGCATCGGCAGAAGGCAGAGCCAAGCGATGGGGCTGAAGGCTCCTGCAGAGCGGACACTTGGATCCACAAAGGTTTTCTGAGCAAGGGCTTGAATATCAAGCCACATCCTTTGATTCTGTTTCAGAAATCAAAGTGGCATTGACCATTGGGGGGGCAGAAAGCTAATAAATCCATGCATGGGGCACTTTCTGCCTTTGCTCTTTTTTGATGGCATGTTTACAAAGGACCCACTGTTGTTCCAGGCTGCACTGCAAAGACCAGAGGCCACCCCATTACGTATATTAATAAACATTGCTGCCAAAGGCTTCTCCCTGCTGGATCACACACCACCGCTGTCCTTTTTTTCTGTCAGTGTGGTGCATCCACCGAGGAGCCTCAAATTGGGTTGCAGGCAACTGGCTGAGCTAAACCTCACCACTCACCTCTGTGCAAATAGCATTTGCTTGCCTTTAAAAATTAGGGAAACCGAGGCACGGAGCTGCAGTGACATCTGCCTGCTTGTGCGGGGAGAAACGAGGAGCGGGGCTGTGCTGTGCCGAATGCTCCAGAGCATCCATCGCCGGACCCACAGGCGAGGTCGGTCCGGCAGCGTCCAGCACCCATTTGCCAGCCCTGCCCACCAGGCGCTCCTCTGCCCACCCGCAGGCTCTCTGCCCAACCAAGCTCCAGCTCCTTGCGTGCTCCCACCTCCCTTTGCATCGCACACGGTGAGCTTTTGTCACCGGCTCCAGCGCCGCATGGTACTGCAGCGGGCAGCCATTCCTCCCGCAGAGACCCCGTCGGACGGATTTCCTTCCAAGGCTTCAGCTCTGCACGAACAAGCTCTGACAGGAGACAGTGCCCAAGTGACACACTCCCGTTTGTGTGTTCCAATTCTGATGGAAACTCTAACACTGGGAAAACGCTGGGGTGATGCTAATAATGATCATGTGCGGGATGGCCCCCAGCAAGGGGTCATGGATTGTCCCTTAGGGCAAGCACAGCTAAATCAACCCCTGCCCTCCCCACGCCCGCCTGGGTGACGCCCAGGAGCCACGTGGGGCTTCGACACGCTGCGGCTGGATCTGCTGCACAAGTTATCAGGAAACAGGAGAGTAAATGAAGAAAGTTAGCAGCTCTTACGCAGCTGATGGGTTGCCTTGAGTTTTGCATCATGGCTGACCTTGAAAGTGCTAATACATGCAAAGGCTTAATGGCTCTGCAGCTGCAAAAATCAGGAATGCCTTGAAAGCCGGTGTATGTTTACCACCACCAAGGCTGAAGTAATCAAAGAGTGAAAGGATTAAAAACAACAACAAAACCCCCTCATGCCCTAAATGTTTTTGCCACTTTATCTTTTTTCTTTTTTTTTTTTTTTTTTTTGCATAAGGTCAACCATTCAAAGGTTAATACAATCTCAGTAAATATAAATAGGCTTCACAGTTTATCTTCCTACATGTACTGCTGTTACTTAGAAACCATTTGCAGAGAGGTTAATTCGGGCCACACATCTCCGAAGCACACGCTGTGCTCCCTGGGCAAATCAAAGAGCCAAGCACAACGGCTGCGGCACAGGCGGGGAAGGTAAGGGCTGTCTGCTGGGAGTCTTGCACAGAAATAGCCAGCGTGGAGCCGCACATGGGAAAGGTTGCTCTTGCAACACGCCAACCCTCCTTCATCGTCCTCCTCGGCAGCCTGAATCCTTGCAGCTCCCTGCCTGCGGTTTGCTGGGGCACAAGAAAAGCGTCACGGGTGGAGACCTGAACCACACAGCCTCCGTGGGGTGAAGAAACCAGGCACTTCACAGGCAGAAGGCACGGAGGCTCCTTAGATAAAGCAACAGTGACTCTTGTGGACAGTTTTAAGTACTGCTGGGCTGGCACACCACACACCATGCGAGTTCCTTGCCCTGTCCTCGGCGGAGCCCCACGCAGCTGCTAAGGCAGGGCAGGGGCTGGCTGGGAGGGACCCAGCGAGACACGGAGCCCACCCAGCTTCTGGTAAGCTGCTGTTCGGGAGCTGCCAGATAGCACATCCCCATCCTTGTGGTCAACAATTCATCTAATCACCACTGGAGCTCACCTGCATTTCTGCCCTCCCCGCGGCCATGGGCTCCACAGCTCCCTGGTGTACCCACGGGGAAAGACCTTCTTTCTGGTGGGCTCTCAGCTTCACAGGGTGTCCCCCAGCACTGGCCGCAACGACACAGTCAATGTGCATTTCCCACTTGCATACTTCAGTGCAGCCCCAGTCTAACGCTTCCCTCTGAAGGCAGCTCTTCTCCAAGGTGAGGACACCACGTCCAGCTACCTTCTCCATGCCAAAAGCTATTCCAGCCCACTGGTCACCAGAGGAGCTTTTCCTGCACCTTCTCTGCTCCTCTGCAGGGAGGGGGGAGACCAGCCAGTGCAGGTCATGCAACCACCACAGCCTTCTCCAGAGAGACCTTGTGAGCTTCTGCAGACCCCAGGCATGGAGCCACCTCCAGACAGTGCCCAAAACGGGGGCTCTCGGCCATGCTCCGGGAGATGCAGCCTCACGCTGGGAGCCCAGAGCTTCTATTCCTCTCAACTGCTCTGCAAACGCCTCAGGGATTTCTGTCCTTGCTGTCGGTGAACTAACCCGGTGATGATCTCCTTCCATCATCCCTAGGGGGTGAAGGTAAGCCAAGCCTGCCACTGAGGCTGTGGGTGATTCAGGGTTTTTCCCACATCAGAAGCCCATTTGTTTATAGCCTGGGGGGGCAGAGGCTCTCAGGAGCAGCAGGTCCCCCCGCTTTAGGGGCAAGGTATGAACTGGACAAATGCAGCAAGAGCCCCCGTACCAGTCACCAGTCTGTAAATGGGGCACGACCCAGGTGGGGAGCCTGGGGCAGCTCCACCAGTGCCCGCACTTCCCCACAAGCACTGGCAGGCAGGAGGAGGAAACAGAGATCAAACAAGGCAAACCAAACTCAAAACTTGATGTTTGATGTTTGATTGTCACCTGCCACCGGCACAGGAAGCAGGATTCAAATACTATCTATAATTT